CAGAGACTCCGCAAAAAACTAAAGAAAGTCTCCATGTATCGCTGGCAAAGAGTTTTGTGCTGGCTGTGGAGGCTTACACCCATTTGGATGCGTCCTTCCGTTTTGAAATCATCAAAAAGCAGTATTCGATGTACGACAATCTCACCCCCGATGCTAACTGGAAGAGGCTGAGGCTGAAAATGCTACATTTAAAAAAAAAAACTCGCCCGCACAAAAAATAAACTCAAATCCTATTTTAATAGTTTCAAGTTGATGACATATTGTTTGAGCATGAATGGAGCTTCTAGCAGATGACAAAAAGTTTGTTGTATGAAATTTATTGGTAATCTTATCAAATGACGATGCTAGGTATCATCGTGTAGCTTTCATCCCCTGCATATTTCGTACTTTCAAGGTTTGCATGTACTTTTTTGTTTTTACCTGTTGACGGACCTTCTGTTTGAAAGTCTTGTAATCGAACTACATGAAGTATTCCAACCGCGAATCATGCATGGCTCTGTAAACTCTCCAGGTGCGCGTCTTCGTCGATATCTTCAATGACATACTCTTGAGCCTCTGACCCTTGCCACTGTATCATTCCGAGCCAGTTCACCTCTGAGATCTCATGATTTGCCATGTAGTTTTCTAGCGCAGCGATGTCGTCATCTGCGCGGCGGATCAGTTCGTCGAAAAGATCTTTCAGTGCTATCAATCTTCGTTCAAAGTTTACGAACAAATAATCGGCGTATTCTGGATGCATCGCGTAGATATCTTTGAGAGATATCATCGGCTGGTCCTCGTCGTCAAATTGTAGAACACCCCTCTCAATGTCATCATACAAGAGAACTCTGGCCCTTGAGTGGCGCCATTTTATCTTCGGTTCTGTTTGCTTTCCTTTTGGCAAAGGCTCGCCAGGTCCATCGAATAGATCGTGATGATGCCCAATGCGCTTTCGAATGTAGCTCAGGGCTTTCATCGTTCACAGCCAAGGCGTATTTGAACTTGTAGATGGGCTTTTGTTGCCCACCCAAGTATCGTTCTTCCAAAATGACTTCGCTCCGATGTTTCTTGTTTCCTTCAGGAAGCGGCTGTTTTGGCTTGATGTATCGGGTAAGGATTGTAGCCCACCAGTTTCAATCCAAGATACTGGATCCTCTCTGGTGTGACCACATGATTGACTGGTGCCTCGTCCAATTCGTCTACACCAGCATTGTCATCATTGTTTCTTGGCTAGGGGTCCTCCAACACCTCTGCCATTCTTGAAGTTGGGATATTGTGCCCAAAGATGACAAGGTGAAAGATTGCAAGAGAATTCGATTTGAAACTGGGAATTGAGTCGTGAAATAGCGAAGTGACATTACAGTCTGGAAATAACAATTGGAAGTCACTTTAAGTCTGGAAATAACAATTGGAAGTCACTGTAAATATGGAGATAACAATTGGAAGTAACATTTAACAAATGGGAGTCATTTTAAGGATTCGGGACGTCACTTTAAGGTTTTACGGGATTTTCAGTTTAACGCTTTTTCGACCATTCTAACACTTCTATTTTACGAAGAAGAAGTATCAACCCTTAAAATCGTGCTCCCCCTTTTGTTGAGAACTTGGTGCTGGCCGGCTGTGACTGGCAGGTGCGCGAGCTGTTCAGAGTTGCGGGTGTTCCAGGAACACCCGGCAAATGTTCAGACCGAGTATTTTCGGGACACTGGAACACCCGCAACTGTTGTGAGCTCGCGCGCCAGCCATCTCAGCACCAACTTGCCCGCGTTCTCCCGTCATCCACAATCCCCCTTTTATTTGATGGGAGAATATCACTCTTCTCGCGGTAACGTATTTTTTATCAAACACGACAAATCCTTTTTCACAAATAAAAATCGGAGAAACTTTTGTGTTCGGCGACACACTTTAACAATTATCGACATCACTTTAGTGAGCGACGTCACAATAGGACATCACTTTAAGGCGCGACGTCACAATTGGACATCACTTTAAGGCGCGACGTCACAATTGGACATCACTTTAAGGCGACACTCCTTTTAATCGGCTGAGGCTGAAAATGCTACATTTTTATAAAAAAACTCTCCCGAACAAAAAATAAACTCAAATCCTATTTTAATAGTTTCAAGTTGATGACATATTGTTTGAGCATAAACGGAGCTTCTAGCAGATGAGTCACATTAGAGGAGCAATAGAATTTCGGTAATACTTTAGCACTCGATTCTTGGTATTATTTAATATAATACTTTTAAAATAGTTAGTTGACTTGTTAGCTAGTGACAGAATTCGTTTCAAATTGGTCTTTCACTTGTTGAATCACGTCGTAGAGTGGGGTTTCGTTCTCCACTTTGTTTTGACAAATAACGCAAACAGCTTCAAACGCAAGCTCAAAGCGTTCTTCACTGTGACGAAAGCAATGACTCGTCACATTGAATCGCTTGATCATACCATTGAAATTCTCTTGACGCATGAGAGCTTGTCTTTTGAATAGCGACACCCCCTTGTTGTCATGAGCATTCGGTGTGCTAATTTGTTTTTGTTCCCCATTGTAACCTCGATCTCCAATTGCTTTTTGTCCACGACGATGGAGTTCCTCGACAAGTCCTCCTGTTCGGGCTACCGTAATGTCAGACGTCCCTGCAGGGTAGGGTCCTCGCATCCACAACAAACGACCTGTGCTCAGGCATATCCCAAGCTCATACATCAACCCAGCTTTGTGATATTTGTGGCTGTAGTAGCGCCTGTTTTGACTTCAGACAGGATGTTTTGGCTCCTGTATCCAGCAGTGAATGCCGTCTACCGTCAGGACCCAGATATCATCTGTGCACAAGTCCTCCTCCCACTTGATCTTCTTGTGTTTCAACGCTCGAAGTCTCTCGATCGACTCCCAAGCCACATTTCTTGGCCAGTACATGCTGAAGCCAAATCGAGCTTCCATGTCCCTAGTGACCAGACAATATTTCATTCAGTAACCCGAGGCGCTGCAAAAAGCCATTGCAACGTACCTTTCTGTTGGATACTTCAACAAGTAATGAAGTGCAATCAAGAGATTCCTCAAATCAATTCAACTGCCCTCTACTTTGGCTTCTTCAATATCCGTTGTTTGCATGTCGTGGTAAATCTCGGCAGCAGTTACAGGAGATAAACCAAAAAATCCCTTGAAACGCTCAAAGTTCACCCGTGCCGTTGACTTCTGTAAACGTTTGCGTTTGTAGCCCACCAGTTTCAATCCAAGATACTGGATCCTCTCTGGTGTGACCACATGATTGACTGGTGCCTCGTCCAATTCGTCTACACCAGCATTGTCATCATTGTTTCTTGGCTGGGGGTCCTCCAACACCTCTGCCATTCTTGAAGTTGGGATATTGTGCCCAAAGATGACAAGAATGCCGAAGGTGAAAGATTGCAAGAGAATTCGATTTGAAACTGGGAATAGCGAAGTGACATTAAGTCTGGAAATAACAATTGGAAGTCACTTTAAGTCTGGAAATAACAATTGGAAGTCACTTTAAATATGGAGATAACAATTGGAAGTAACATTTAACAAATGGGAAGTCATTTTAAGGATTCGGGACGTCACTTTAAGGTTTTACGGGCTTTTCAGTTTAACGCGTTTTCGACCATTCTAACACTTCTATTTTACGAGGAAGAAGTATCACCCCTTAAAATCGTGCTCCCCCTTTTTGTTGAGAACTTGGTGCTGGCCGGCTGTGACTGGCAGGTGCGCAAGCTGTTCAGAGTTGCGGGTGTTCCTGATCGCAAAGTTTGACGTGCTCGTGCCCGGAGATATAAAATTATATTTTTAGCTTCGAAAAATCTATATTATTTCCCTTTAAATATTAATGACATATTATTATGTGATGATTTATCAAATAGGGACTTATGGACACAGATGACCGATTGGTCATTGTGACTTTTTCTGAGTTATAACTCAGATCACAACGGAATCCTGAGTTATAACTCATGGCGTTGAGTTATGACTCAAACGTGTGAGTACGTCTGAGTTATAACTCACATGTTTGAGTTATAACTCACACGTAACTCAAACGTGCGAGTTATAACTCAAGGATTGAGTTATAACTCCCAACTTCAGGATTCCGTCTATTGATATGATTTGGAATTCGAAGTTTCTTAATGACCCTGCGACCATCAAATGACCTGTTGTTATTTACAGAATTAGGATCAGAAAAGATCAAAAATAAAGTTGTTCTGTGAAAATGATATTGTTTAAAAACTGAAATATATTTAAGGCAGGGATCGCCCATCGAAAGACATCAGAATTCCCACAGTCAACCCCGCGCGGTACGGATTTTCGTCATTTGCCGGGTCTTCCAGAGAACTTTCTTTCTTCACGATCATCTACAGAGAACTTTTTGTTCTACGCGACAGTTGTTAAGTAACATCTGGTGGCCCATTAAATGAAATAGGCCTCAAAGACCTGTAGATGGTCGTAAAAACTCAGAAAAAACCTGTAGATAATCGTGAAGATCGAAGATTCTCTGTAGATGGTCGTGGTTTTGATAAGTACTATTTATTGGTTCACAATCACGATTATTTACAGAGAATTTTCGATTTTCACGACTATCTACAGGTTTTTCCTGAGTTTTCACGGCCATCTACAGACATTTGAGGCCTTTTGCAATTTCTCGCACTGGCGGAAGGACAACGGCTCGCTTTTCTCCTTCTGGAAGGAGTGCCATTTATGACCAAAAAAATCAGTTACAGATTTTTTCGGCATGTCCCAGATAGATTGGTCACATATCCAATATTTTGGGAAGTACGTGGTCTGTCCTCCATACGTGTAGTTTTGTGGTAGTCACAAGTTTTCCTTGTCTATTTCGTCCGGTAATTGATCTGTTTTGGCTGACTAGCAGCGCATTTTAACGGTTTATCAGACCCAGTTTTAACATTGGCGGATCTCTGTGTTTTGCATGTGCCACTTCTCGTGGAAAAGTTTTACAGCGTTCAAGTGTGATTCCTCTCTCCAGAGAAGAGCGGGATAGTACAGATATCAAAGACCTGAAAAAGCGTTTTAGCGAAGACTTGCATTACTGTTTGAAAAACTCTGACCCCATCAAGATTGATGATTTACAGGATCCTTCGGGTGCTTACAAAGCTGATGAAAAGTATATCAGACCTCTGCACACGAATGCTAACCCTCAGCACTTTGAAGTAGTAACTGAAACATTAATCGATTAAATGCTATCTAGCGCATACGATTGCCGGTGGAGTAAGCGGCTGTAAAGGTCAAGTACCGTGAAGCGACGAGTCAACAACTAGTTTGAACCATGGGAGACATCTGG